ATTCTATTCAGGTACTTAAGGAAATTCGAAAAAAAACATTTTAAAATTTCATTCTAATCCATGAATTTTTTTCTTTCATTTATTATAATTTCATTAATTCATTAATTTTATCGCTTCCTTTGTATGAATTATTTTCCGGACTCTCATCATTCACGCGTTATTGTTATAGAAAATTGTATGCACGTGAAAATTACATTCACGCACTGATTACGACAAGGTCGATCTCTTGGTCGCGAGTTTGATCGAGATTCTATCGAAATACGTGTTAAAAAAAAGCAAACCCGTTTTATTTTCAGAGAATTGAAAGTTTACATTCACTTGAGAAGAATTTCATTATTACACATGAGTTCATTATCAAGTAAAATGATCACAATTTGTAAAACAGAATCGATCTAAAATGTTTTACTGTACTAATGCTTTTAAAACATTACATTAAAACGAAAATGATACTTAAGTAGTACGAAAAAAAGTACTATAATTTGCATGTCGAAATTTGCATACAAAGAAGTAATTTAATTCCATCTACAATTTAAATGAATATGGGCAGCGAGATTTAGTTCATGATTACGCAAGAGTAGGATTCAGCTGGAATGCATACAATTAACGGAGTAGAAAATTAAAAGGGAACATCTTAGATCTGTGGCAATAACGGTGGAATGCAATCAACTTTTGCATTTGCTCTCATCCATCATAGAATTTCCTTGAACTAATTGTGCAGATGTTTGCATAATAATACGTAGTAAATATCAGGACAACAAGAAAGCACTTAATTGATTATACACGATTGACCCGTTTTTTATTGTAAATTATAAACCTTGAATTCAACGATTAATCAATTTTTCATACGTATTTATATAAACAAATAGAACAAGTTCTCATATTTTGCATTTATATTACTTTTTCATTTAATTCTTACCGTATTACTATAAGCTGGTACACCACCTCTTCCAGTTTGAACACTTCTCCTTTTGGCAGCTTCTACATTAGACAGCGACTGGCTAAATCCAAGTTCGTCGCCCAAGGAAAATCCTATAGTTAACAATGATAGGAACGCAATTATATTACAACAATCGTTTGAACAAATTAAACTTTGATCATGTAATTAAGATAGTAATAAGGG